AGTTATGTACTGCTGAATCTAAAGGAAGATTAGGCTACTAGATACTCAAATTACAGCCCTATAACTTTGAGATGATTCATAAACTTAGACAAATATATTCTAATATCAATGTCTTCTTATGATTACAGACTCAGACCAAAGAAATCAAGTTCTTATGAATTTAGACCAATATTATCAATTATATTAGTATTTAGATACAAACACAATATCCAAAGACTTTACTAAGAATCAGACAAAGCAATTAATTAATCAAGCCTAATACTTTAAGATTAGATACTACTTACTTTATAAAAAGAATAGAAAAGATCTAGATAGACCCTTATGAGTTATCAAATGAACAGAAATAGAACCTGTTTTCTACATAATACATAAACACTCTATCGTTAGACATTTAAGAACAAACACAATATATTATAAAATAGCTGAATGATACTATTGAGACCAAATATACTAAGATATTAAAGAATATGTATAGACATATGAAGACTACCAAAAAGACAAAAAGGAAGAAAAAAAGAATCTTTATATCCAATTTAAATTAGACAAGCCTTTGAATGAATTGGAATTGATCTAGTTAGACTATTATCAATTACAGATCAGAATAATTGCTATATTACTATAGCAACAGATTATCTAACTTATTGGTCAGAAGTCTGTACTATACTAGATGCTGGAGCTAAAACCTTAGCAAAATTTATCTTTGAAAAAATTATCTATAGATATAGATCCTCTAAGATAATTCTATCTGACCAAGAAAGAACCTTTATTAGTGCAACTGTTCGAATATTATATGAAAAGTTTCTTATTAAACACAAGTTCTCTTTGCTATACTACACTCAGATCAACTAAATAGTTGAATAATTAAATAGAATACTTTGCAAATCACTTACCAAAGTAAAAGAAACAGACAAAGATTGGGATATTTATATACTTGCTGTTCTATTAGTATATTAGATCAAGAGATATACTACTACTGGTTATACACTTTTCTAATTAGTTTATAGAAAACAAGCTATTCTATCTATTGAGACTATTTTCTCTACTGAACCACTACCAGACCCTGATACAGAAATAGACTTGCAAGATAGCATATTACAACAAGCTTATGATCTGATAAAAAAGCTACTCCAAATATAAGAAGAAGCTTGAACCAATACAGAAAAATTACAAAAGAAACAAAAAGAATATTTTGATACTAGAATCAGACCAGAAAAGTTCAAAATTAATAAAAAAGTTTGGATACAAATCAAGCCTTTAAAAAAGTTAAGATTGGCTAAATTCAAAAACAAAAAAGAAAAACTTTATATTATTCAAGTGAAACTGAATAATGAAGCCTATAGACTATGAACATTAGATAGAAAAATACTACAGAAGTATTATAATAGTGATCAATTAGCAAAGTACTATAAGAAACAGATATAAAAACCAATCATTATGATTAAAAATTCTTAATTTCTAGAAGAAATTTTATTGGACGAGGAGAGACAAAAACAAAATTTGTGAAACAGATAATTATATAACTTTAAAAAAAATTATAAATAGACACTTTATTTAAAAATTCTCTAATTTATATACAATACACATTCACTATATATAATAATATACTGCAATCCATAACTATCCAAGCTTTTCAATACTTTCTTACTATTTGAAGACAGGACTTCCAAAACAATTTAAAAATTTGTTTCTCTAATATCTTTCTGTAGAACCTAATAACTCTAATGATACTAGTGATATTACTTTCCTAGTAAATATCATAGTAGATACTCTATCTAACTCTACTGATATAGAAGCCTTCTTGAATAATATCTTAACCAAAGAATCAGAAATTACCATAATTTCAAATGATCCTTCATTTGATACAGAACCAGAAGTAAATCCCATACTAGACAATTTTCTTTTTGAAATAAAACTAGAAACAGAAACTTATTAGAAAGTTCGAGACAAACTCATCCAACTGCTTATTTCTCTATCGCATACTTATTCTAACCCTTTATTAGTAGAATTTGGAAAGACCAATTGATTAAAATTCTTTGACAACTAGAGAATAAAGGCCAAACTCGATCCAAACAGATAAAGGTTCTTAAAGCTTATCTGTACTTAGAAATTCTTATCCAAAAACAATCTAACAAACAACAACAGATCCATGAACTTATTCAAGCTTCTCAAGGTTCTCAAAAGACTCAAAATATTTAAAAAAAAGCTATACAACTTCAACAAATCTTTAGTATTCGATCTAAGGAATTGTTGTATTAGACCTGATACTTTACTATAACTCACGTTATCAAGTTTACTGATAAAGAGTATCAGTCTTTAATCAAGAATTTGCAGAACAAATTTTTATAAGGAGACAGAAATGTTATAAAACAGTTTATTATTTTATTAGTTTATTATTTCGATATTGTATAATTATTAGTTATTATTTTATTACTTTGTTATTTTATTATTTAGTTATTATTATTATTAGAGTAGAATTTAACAGATATATATTACACTTAGTACTTAACGCTTAACAATTAACGATTAGCAATTAATAATTAATGATTAACAATTAATGCTTAATACTTAATGCTTAGTAATTAACAATTAGCACTTAATGCTTAATGATTAGTGATTACACTTTATGCTTAGCACTAAGTAAACTACACTTATCGTAAATTTTCAAAATAATGTGCATGGGCGTTATTTTGGGTTTTGGCTTGAATTAAGCTTAATTTAGGCCAAATTTTATAATTTCACCTCTGGACGTTATTTTGAGAATTTTATAGTAGTTGTAATGATTAGTGATTAGCACTAAAGATATAAAAAGGATATAATTTTCTTCAAGTTAACATTAGATCTGTACTGTCTAAACTCTTAAACCCAGACTCTCCTCTTGTAATATTATAAAATTCTTTAAGAATAGGAACTTAAGGATAGCTTATCTTATTCTTTCTAATAAAATATATATTTTATCTATAAACTATTATTTGTTCAAACTGCTACAGACAAAAGAGTATAGTCTCTAATTGTAGTAGAAATTATACTTACCTGTTGGACACCACTATAAACCTGTAAAGAATCTCTGTAGCCATATTATTGTTATAGTACTGCTATTAAGAAGGCTATAGTACTATAACAATATAATCTTTATAATCAAATTTAATAGTAAAAATGATACTTGCATATAACAATTATGAAAGATCATCATGATCATTATACAGAGATATTTTTTATAATATAATATTAAAATTGACCAAAGATTCTTTATGACCAACTTTACAAAATTGATTTTTTGAAATAATACAAGAAAGATAAGGTGACTCAAAAGCTTGATTAAAATGATATATTTTACACTCTTTGTATGAATTTATACTTTTGTTTAGATCATTTTGAGTATATCACATTGCAGCTATTGAATGTAACATGTGACTTGAGCTTTTAGAAGTTATTATAACCAATTAGAATTGAAATTTTTATATAAAAAAAATTTTTAATATTTTATTTTTATCAAATTATTTAAGTATACAAATTTGCCTGCTTAAGTAGATAGTTTAAGAGATACAATTTCATATACTATATTTCTCTAAAAATAAATGTTTTTTTTTATACTTAATGCTGACTGTGATTGTCATAAAGTGGGCCAAAATCGGCATAGTGTGGGTCAGGTGTGCTTATTTTCAGAAAATGTTTATTTTTGAAGGATTATAGTAGTAAAAATCACAAATTATATGCATATTATACTGGATTATAATTCTAGACACTCTAGGGAGAAGATAAAAAAAATTATCAGGTATATAATTTTAGCCAATTAAAATTTTTATTTAAAATTAGGTAGAAGGTAGTCTCTTAATAAAAAAATATTAGCTAATAAATGGCTCTTCTCTTATTTATTTTATTTATTTTATTTTTTTTAATATTACTCTTTTTTTTTTAGTTTAAACTTTTTTTATTTTTAATAATACAATATTTATTAACTTAAAAAGGTTCAAAAAACTTTTTAATTAAAAAAATTTAAAAATAATATATTTTATATTAACAATTATAAATATAATCAAACCTCTCTATACTTACACCATTGGTTTGAAGAATTTGGTACTTATAAAGTTTGTGCTTATATAAAGGTTAAATTTTAAATATAATATAAGTTGGTTTTAAAAATTCGTGATTATAAGCAAATGTAACTATAGAGAAGGTGACTACAGAGAGGTCTGGCTGTAATACGTAATATATAAATTTTTTATAATAAAACATAAAATTTTTACTTCATAATAAAGTTTTTGTTAAAATAATATTATAAAAATTTATAGTGTTGATTGTTTATGATTGCCAGTATACGTAGTAATAAAGCATTGCTGAGGTAATTAAGGAGCCAATCATTCTATCATGCTGTTTAAATCGAAATATCTTAAATCGATGGCAAATAAAATAAGACGTTATAATAAACGAATAATTTTTTTTTCAATAAACAACCGTTTTCGAATAGTAAATTCGTGTACTGCACACAGATACGTATCAATTCACTAACAAGTATCGATGATAAGGCATGTTGAAATTTAATGCGAGCACGGTTGCCCAATTGGACCTTTGTCTAACTTGGACCTAAAAATTTAATTTGGGGCTGCAAGTATTGATGAATAAATTACATCAGGAAAGGTTAATCCGTTATTATGCACATGTGACGTGTGTGCGTACTATTAATGATGTCTTGTCTTTGGATAATTACACCACATGTAGTTATGTACACAGACATTCCAAACAATGTCTCTCGGATTATTGAATACAAATAATCGAAATTGTATACAGCAGATTTACGTAATACGACAATAAACGTACTGTATTACCATGTTATTAGAGAGGTTATCAAAAAGACACTTAATTATCCGGTGAGAACCGTGTATTACTTCAAATTAATTTGTAATAAAGCGTGTAGCATTATTGTTTATTTCTAATAAATATAAACAAGAAAGTGTAAACGAAAAAAACGTGTACAGAATAATAAACAATGGGGTTTTTTTCCCTTAATTTTCCGAATTTGATTGGGCTCCTTCGATATCAGCTAAAACCATTTCTTTTACCAAGGAATCAAAATCCACTTTTCGCTTCCAACCAAGTTGTCTATTTGCTTTTTCAGGACTTCCAAGTAACAAATCTACCTCGGTAGGACGGAAGTACTTTGGATCAACTCGCACACGAATGATGTTTGTGTCTTTTTCACGACCAACAATTTCTTCACCTTCACCTTCCCAAACAATAGACTTGTTGATCACAGCGAACGACTTTTCTACGAATTCACGGACAGTATGAGTTTCACCTGTCGCAAGGACATAGTCATCTGGACATTCTTGTTGCAACATCAACCACATTCCCTCTATTTTAAGAAAGACAAAGTTAAATTGTTGTTTCCTTTAATAGTAAAGATTTACGATTTCTCATGTATGTATGTTAACTAACCAACATAGTCTCTTGCATGTCCCCAATCACGTTTTGCATCGAGGTTACCAAGCCAAAGACACTCTTGTTTACCAAGATGAATTTCGGCAACTGCGCGTGAAATCTTTCGTGTTACAAACGTACGACCACGACGAGGTGATTCATGATTAAAAAGAATACCATTACAAGCATACATGTTGTATGCTTCGCGGTAATTAACAACTATCCAATAAGCATATAATTTTGCAACACCATACGGTGAACGAGGATAAAATGGTGTAGTTTCCGATTGAGGAGTTTCCACAACTTTTCCATAAAGTTCGGAGGTGGACGCCTATCAAGATAAATATTGATTAATCAAATATAAATTATTGTTATGAGTAATTTTACCATAATATTAATAATTGAAATAAGATTTATACCTGATAAAATCTAACATGATTTGTGAGGCCGACAGTTCGTATGGCATCTAACAAACGTAAAGTACCCAATCCATCAACATCACCC